CGGATTTCATCTTCGAGGCTCGCAAATACCTAGCTGAAACCTTATGGGTGGAACCCCCCACCCTGTCAAAGTGACCATGAGAATGGTGTAAGGATACTATCAGGGTGCTTTAATAATCCTGTTCTAGCAGTACACGCTGGGGCGGTAAACTAAGTGAAGCCCATCATATTTGGGGTCTATAGTGTATTTCTGGAGGATACAAACCAAGTGTCTTTTGGAGCCCCGAGGGTCATGAGACGCCGGACAGCTGTCTCCACGGGCGAGGCTGACTTTGTCTCCATGTTGCAACAAGGTCAGGCCCAATATGGCACAGGAATTGCAAAGCTACCTATAAAGAATGCAAGTCCTTCAAGAACATGCCTGAAATCCTGAGATGAGCTGCTTGAGGTCGAGATATTAATTGCGAGACATCCGAAACAGAATGTTGAATGATCGCCACTTGAACAGAGGTCCTGCGTTGACACATTAATATTCATGAGAGAATCATCGAGACGGCGCTGCGACACCACTGCTTGTGAAGCTTTTTTTTAAAACATGCCAGAAAGACTTGATGTCGGCCCCAAGCTGATGCCACGCTTCAGCAGGAAACTGATGTTTTGCTGCGGCGGCATGCCAACCTGCAAAGGCAATGGGAGAGATCGTGGGACTAGAAAGTAAAATCTGGAAATGCTAACTAGATGTACTTCGTCGATATGAGGATGCTTGACTCTGCTCCTCGGGCCATGGAATATATACCGTTATTTAACAACGTACAATGTATACTTCTCAATTTGCAGACACTGCAGTAGAAAACATCTCATGATTTGGGCTGTTTATAATATTCTAGGGGGATTGAGTCTTTGGAGTTGTGGCCTTGGGGTTTGAGGATTTCAGATTTCAATGAATTGAATTGAAGTGCATCACATGCTTATTGCTTCAAGCTTGATGCAGCGCAAGTGCAGGCAAGAGCAAGATTCATTTTTCACGAACATTCTGCAATGGAGACAAAGGCGCGTTCCCCCGCGATGACTCCAGCACACATCTTTGCTTGCGCGCTTGAATTGCAGAAGCTCTCTGTAAAGCTTGGATCTTGAAATTTGCAACAGCCTTCGCAACATAAGCACATGTAAGACACAAATTGCAAGGGCTGCAGTCAGCATCAGGAATGGCAGGAAAGCACAGGTCGCTCTCTGGAGCAATGCCTGCAAAATCACTGTGGGTCGCCATGCTCCTTCAAAAAGGCTTTCACACACGCCTTGGCCACTGCAATGTGGGCATCGCTCGTGAGCTCCGTGTTCGTCTCATCATACTTCGGCTTAACAAACTTCCACCAGGTATCCTATTCCAGCGACTTGTTTGAGCGGTTTTAGGGTTGGGAACCGGTATACCATTATATAGAGATTCTACAACCTATAGTAGATACTCCGACATATATCCTTAAACCGCAACCCTAAACCCTATATAGACCCCATAAATCTAAACCTAGATATATATATGTATATATACACCTTAAACCCTGCAAACCCCAAAGCCTAAACCCTGACCCGTAAAAAGCCCTTGAACCCTAAACGCTAAACACTAAGTCCTCGTGATCAACCTTATAAACCTATATAGAGGGTCCTTCATAAAGGATGGGTGACCACAACACAATGCTCCAGAAGATGCGCTGTATGCGTCACAAAACTTCCTAGATAGAAAACCCTACACGCACAACACCTGGTACATTCTGAAGTGTGTAGTTACCCGAGATCCTGCATCTTGCCGGGATGCTTGAATGCTGGCCCGATCTCATGCAAGAACACCTCCCGCATAGCATCCCACTCCATGCCGCTCGACTGTACCTCCGGTCGGTAGCGCCTGGCAAAGCTAGGCCGAGCACCTTCCTTCCTCCGCTTGTCTGTCTTGTCAGAAGAGGATGCTGGCCTTTTCTTCTGGGTGGCGCTTGCAGGGGGCTTAGGGCAATCCTTCTCTGTCTGCTTGGAGGTCTTGGGAGAAGGTTCGGCAGGTCCCTTGCCTATGAGGCGTTTCCTGGCAGAAGGCTTCATGGGATCACTATCCTTCTCTTCAGGCACGTTCGGGCCGCTTTTCTGCGGGGTCTCTGGGCCCTTGTCTGTCTGAAGGTTGGCAGCCTCAGCAACAGGCTCCTTGTTCTTTGCCTTTCCCTTGTTACCCTTGGGCTTCGCTGCAGCTTCAATTTTTTTCAAGCCGGCTGCGGCCTTGCTTTTTGCTTTAGCCTTAGCCTTCGGGCTCGGTTTGGCTTTCGTATTAGAAGCTGCGTTAGCTCCCCTGCCCCTGCCTTTGCCCCTGCCTCTCCCATTTCCCCTACCCATGCCCCTGCCCCGGGCCGCATTCTTGTTTCCACTGGTTTTGGCAGGCTCCTTCTCCGAAGCATCAGCCTCCATTTCTTCATCCACCGCACCCTTGCTGAACTGCTGCGTGCGCGGAAGAGCTTCCTGCAAATAAAACGCACACGACAAAAAAAACCTAAACCCAGATATCGCTACCTTCACGAGTTTTTATTTATCCCTTTCCTGGAAACTGAGCACGGAGAAAGTCTTCGCATCATCCTCATTCTGGGGCTTTGTACTACCCAAGCTATTAATCGGATCATCATTTGCGGTGGCAGCAGCTTCCATGACGTACTTTGGGGCTTCGGATTCTTCTGGCACAGAACCGTTCTCACCGTCACCACTTGCTGTTGTACTGAGCTCACCAAGACTTATGCTGGAAGTACTTCGGGCATGCTCCGACCAAGAGGTTTTCTCCAAGCACTTGGACAATGCGAGGTCACCATCATAGGCTTGGGTTTCGACATTGCTCAAATCACCACCTGAGGAATTCGTGCTTGCGCAACTAGGAAGAACCCCTATATAAGATGTGTCATTAAATGAAAAACACAGCAAACCTCGTCTAGCTCCAGCCACTGCAATTACAAATGGAGGTGGTGCACTTCATGTCTTCATTGGCTCATCATTCTTAAGTAATATTCTTACATATTATTTAAAGGCTTGTAGGGTTTATAGGGTTATAGGGCTATGATTTTTTAAGGTTGGATGGTTTATAGGGATTGTAAGTTGAGATTTTATGGTCGAAGGGTTTGGGATTTAGGGCTTTAGGGGGTGCACCCTGACCCCGACACGAAGCTCGATCCCTGTAAATTCACCATCGTCTTAACCAACAAGCCCAAATCCTTCGCCTGAAGAAAAACAAGCCCAAACCCATATAATATATAGACCCTTATAAGATTGAAGGATGATAAACCCATGCAGGATTTACAGAAATGCCTTATATATGAAAGGTATACCCGCATGAGTGGATATATACGGTACAGTCTTCATACCCAACCCATAAAGATCAATGGCGTGATTTCTTTCAGATGCGTCACGCAAGTCAGACAGCGGAGTAGCGGTCTTTGCTTGGGAAGCCCTCTTCGCATCTAAGCGTTGCCTCAGATAGCACGCTTGAGGGTTTTTTAATGAAAAGACTTTATACTGCATGCAGGCATGGACCTACATGATGATTCAAGGAAGGCGCTGCAGGGCTTGAATCTTGGCCAAAATCTCTGCATTGTTGTTCTTCTTCTTCTTATGGGAACTGGATGCCCGCGTAATCTCGAAAGTAGCTTTGGGAGCCCAAGAAGTTGGGACGCTAGGTGCTGTCATGGGAGGCTCGGGCGCTTGCGCATGTTTCTCACCATCCAATGCCCTCGTCTGGGAACCGGGGAGGGTGCTAAGGAGTGATTCTGGGGCCTCACGTGCTTGGTCATCCTTGCTGTTCGGGGCACCGCTAGAAGCTGGGATGCTAAGAGGACTCGGGAGCCTGGGAGGCTTCCGCAGCAATCGACAACACCTCGGGAGCAAGGGTGCAGGCTTCACTCAAGACGGGAGAGGGCTTGGGCTCTTCCATATATGTGCTGGGATCAAGCGCTTCCATGCCAGGGGCAGTGAGTGTTTCCGGAGCCTCAGCCGGTGGCTTCAGTGCTTCTGTATCAAGGACAACTTTGCTCAGATCAGGGGGGCTGCCAGGTGCTTCAGCAGAGGGCTCGGGCGCCTGCACATGGTTGGCAACGCTGGGGAAGGCCATGTTCGGGCAAGGGTTGCTGGGCAGTTCTGTAACTTCATGCACGGCAGCCGGTGCTTCTGGGCCAGAGAAATCCTCGCCATCAGGCTGAGTATCAAACTCACCAGACAAAGAGGCTGGAGCTTCAAGATACTCATCCAGCTGAGCATCCATAGCAGGCTCTGCGCCAGCAACATCTTCAGGTTCATAGTATTGGGTCATCTCGCCATACACATCAGGGAAAGGCTCCTCATGTTCTTCAGCATCCACCCTGTTAAAGTAACGCTCCACTTGTTCGTCCGTCGGGACATCATGCTGTGACATATCATCCCTTACCTCACGATGAGAAGGCGGAGCCCCATCATGCTCATGCGGAGCCACAACTGCCGGAACTGAACCTGAAGACTCACCCGCAGCCCCTTCACCATCATCACCAGCACCCTCCGCATCACCAACCTCGTCTGCCCAAAGATCCATCATGAGGTCCATGAGGAAATTCAGTTCTGAGTCCTACACGCCAACATAAGAAACGTTGACCGATTTACTAATTTATAAGATTCATGCGCGGATTGTATTCACATAAAAGGGCCCAAGAAGGAGTATATGGAGTCCTAATATGGAGTATAGTACAGTTCAACCCATATATACCACGCTCCTATTTTATTCCAAACCTCAGCATTCTCAGCACCCAAATTCCTATATGTTTATAAGCTATATAAGAAACATTATATATAGACATATATATATATAAAGCCAATGCCGCCGCAGCTAGAAACAAAGCCCCACTTGATATGACAGGCTTGCGTCTTTCGAAGCTGCAGGTTGTGAAGATTTCAGTCCAGATTGGGGGCAGTGAGGGTTTGGAGAATTAATATTAGTTTAGAAGGCATTGAATTATAAGGGTTAAGTGATATATATGCAAAGGTGAAAGAGAAGAATCGTATTGAATCGTGTACTACCTGTTATGTGATTTTACGCATTTCCAAATGTGGGTCCCTGAAGTTCTTGATGCCAGCACGAAAACGCCTGATAGCGAGGGAACATAGTCTCTTCGCACCCCAAGCATCCACGTACTGTATGACATTGTCGATCTCAGGCAACAGAAGAGAATGAAGAATTTTGACCTTCAGCTTCATGGGTCAACGGCGCCTACATACAAACCCATAAGAATGCTATACTCATCACTGAAATCTACTTCAGGGCCTCAATAAGTGGGATGAAGGCAGATGGGTTAAAGGATCTATTAGAGTATGTATTCTACTTGTGAGGCTTATTTTCTATATCCCAGCTTCCTTCGTCCCACCTTTTCTGCCCATTTGACTATTAACAACTGGGCCTCTTCCCTCAACCATTGAACCGGCGGCGCGCGGGGCTCCGTGCATACAGCACCCCACTCGGAAATGAGGTCCGCGATTGCCATGCGGTTGATTTTGAGTGCAGCTTGGCTTGCAACGCCAGTGGTAAGCTGACTAGGCCACAGCAGCAGCTTCTTGTTGGAGCGAACACTCTCACGGATCAAAGCTCGTTGCTCCCACCTCTTGGCAAGTACCCCTTTTTCGGGAAGCTTCACAAGAGTCTCTGGCTCTGCATCATCTGCGCCATCTTGATCATACGGAACAATTGCAGCAGCCATAGCTAAAAGCAAGCGTGCAGAAACCCTGCTGACTTGACCCTGTGAATCATAATTTCCAAATCGCAGAAACATGCAAGTTGATCACATGCTGCGGTTTTGCCCCACTGCTCCTCCAAAGCACATTAAAAGCCACTGCGCAGTGCTGTGTGCTGGCCTTGCAAAGGAAGAGGAGCTGCAACAGAATCGTGGCCACGTGGCCTTCCAATGCTCATCGCTAGTGACATGGACCATTATTTGTTGCATCTATATCTGTTTAGCCTTTAGGCTTTTGAATTGGCTCTATTGTTGACAGGTTACAGGATAAACCCCATACGTGGAACGCAGTTGCTAGCGCAACTTTGAGGTTCCACAGGCATGTGCTTGAGGCTGCAAAGGCATAAGCTTAAAGAGCCCAATTGGTGATATAAATCTAGTTGCGTTGTAGCCCCGAGCCCCCCATCTGCTTGTGTGAGTGGCGTTGAGGTATATAGTTACATGTAGATTCTCCTGCTGCGCACAAAGGCTAGCCGCATTTTACGACCTACATATGAAAAGGGCCCAACAAACACTCCACCTATAGAGTCATCCCTTGAACTATATAGGTCAATATACGGCTGTGCGAAGATGGCCTTCTAGATCATTTCAGGACCACGCATTATGATAGACAGATTGCCCTTCCATATTTGAAAAAACCTTCCACTTCCATCCCTGAAAACAACCCAAGTCTCCACGCCCAACAACTGCACTCATATCCCTCAATCCATCCCTTGACTGAAGAACTTAACCCGCCTCGATCTATGCAATTTGTACATACTCGCACAAACAAATGGGCGCGAAATACCCCCCAACTTAATCCTGCTCCATATATAGGAAGATGCAAAGACTTAGGAAAAGTGTACATCACTTATGTACCAACCCGGCCTGCTGATCCAAGGCAGACGCTGCCTGCCAAGCACGGCTGAAGCTTGTAAGGCAAATTGACATGGGATATAACTTCGTAGGGCTTGGTGTAAAGTGTAACAAACATGTTTTCAAGGCTTACAAGCTGGTTTAGGGTTTCGGGCTCATCTTCAAGGTGTTGTGCATAGAGTCTGCTCATGCCAGGCAGCACAGATGTAGGAATTTGAAAAGGCTAGATCACCACTGAATCTTTTTTGAAACAATGTATATAGGAAGAAGCCATGTAAGCCTCAATCTTTTTGTTGTAGATGTACAAGCACTTTCAGCCCTGCTACAATGCTCCATTACAATCTGCCGGCTGTGTTGCCAAACTGCAAATATGTACCCGCCTTTCTTCGAAGAATCAGGGGCTGCCGAGGGCCTGCCCAGAATAGCAATGAACAGACTCCTATATGCCCAGATGACAATGCGCCAGAACACTTGCGGAACTGCAGGTATACTGTAGTATGACGCATATATGTGTAGAATCATTGTGTGGAGAAAGTATGCCACAAACTAGAAAGACCCTTGCAATCATCCATCCACCCAGCCTCCGGGTCCAAAATCTCCACCGCATTCAGCGGTCGGCGAGCTT